GAGAACCAGCATGGTGGGGCTTCCGAAGCCTTTTGGAACCCAGGAGATCATGTGTGAGTCCCAGATGCCAGATTTTCACACTGTTTGCTTTTGGTTTACTTTAATATGGTTATATTTGTTCTTCCCTATTGGAATAAGAAAGGGTTTAACTTGTTTTACTACAGGGGTCCACAATTAAGAAACTTTGGATTTTTGCTGGGTGATGGTGGCACACACCTTTGATCCCAGGACTTGGGAAGCAGAGGCAGGCAGATCTCTGTGAGTTCAAGACCAGCTTGGTCTATAGAGTGAGTTCCAGGACACAAAGATCCACCTGCCTCTGTCTTCCAAGTGCTGGGACTAAAGGCGTGCGCCACCACTGCCTTGCAAAACTTTGAATTTTTAAAGAAAACTTTGACTTTAAAGTGTTGAAATGTTTAAAGATTGTGAGACTTTCAAAGTTATACTGTATGTTGTAATGCTCTTGAAGACAAACAAGAAAGAGTTTGTGTTGTGTTGTGTTTGTGTGTTAACTTGACAAGGGGTCAATTGTGGCTTTCTGGTTTTTTTATTTTCTGGGAAGAACTTCCATTGAGGAATTGCTCCATCAGTTTAGCCTGTAGGACCACCCCAGGAAGTGGTCCTGGGGTGTATAAGAAAGCAAACTGAGCAAGCCATAAGAGCAAGTCAGTAAGCAGCATCCACCATAGCCTCTGGCTCAGCTCCTGCCTCCAAGTTCCTCTTTGAGTTCCTGTCTGGGCTTTCTTTGATGATGGACGGTAAGCTAAAAAAATAAACCCTTCTTCCTCCTCCCCCACAAAAATAGAAAATTGACCTTTTTTTTTCCTAGCAGAACTCAAAGCTTAGAGAAACAGCTTTTTAGAAGAGACTATAACCCACAGTTTTTTACCCAGACTTTCTTGCATATATAAGGTCCTCAAGAAATCTTTCCAGACATACAAGAACAAGACAAAGCTCTTTAAAAACTCAAGGGGCCAAAGTGGGCTGGGGAAAGACCAGGAGGGTCCCAACTCTACACAAAGAACTAGAAGCAACTAAGGAATGCTGGGAGTGAGAGACATAATCTTCACCAGGGAGGAGCACACCAATTGGTTATCCAATACGAAATGGACAGCCCTGAAAACACACATACTCGTCACATCATACAGACTGAGCAGGTTGTACTTAGCATACATATATGCATGTAACAACAATCAATGCAAAAAGAAGCCATGAATTGGAGAGACAGCAAGGTGGGATACGGGAGGGTTTAGAGAAAGCAGAGAGGAGGAGGAAATGATGCAATTATAACATCAAAAAGGAAAAAAAAAAATCCCCAACTAGCCAGGCATGGTGATACACAGCTGTAAAACCAGCACTTGAGAGGCAGAGGCAGGCAAATCTCTGAGTTTGAGGACAGCCTGGTCTACAGAGCGAGTTCCAGGACATCCAGGGCTACAAAGAGAAGCCTTGTCTCAAAAAGCCAAAATAAAATAAAACAATAAAACCTAGGGGGCTGGAGAGATGGCTCGGCACTTGCTGCTCTTGCAGGGTACTGTAGCTCAGTTCCCAGCACCGTGTGGTTGTCTATAGCTGTCCATAGCTCCAGTTTCCAGGGATCTGATAGCCCCTTTTGACCACCTTGGCATTTCAGTTCATGGTACACACTCAGGCACTTGCACATATAGTATAGACGGAATAAAACTTAGGGGCCGACCTCAATTTCAGCTAATTAAAAAATATAAAACAAGTGATGCAAATAGCCCAAGTTCTGGAGGGCAGAGCAAGGGCCAGGGAATTGGAATGGAAGGTAAATATAGTGATCTTGCTTGCATGAATTGGCTAAGGAAGGGCCAGGGCAGAGCAGGGAAGGCCCATGGCACTCAATACCCAACCAAAAATCAGTGCTGTCTACATTGAAAAACAAGTGCTACTCATCCCTCAATGCATTTATACTTCCTAAAAATAATCACACAGTTTTGGGGGGACGGTCTCACTGTGCAGCCCAGGCTAGCCAGATTTGTATCCATCTTTCTGCTGCTGCCGTGAGGGTTCAGATTATAGGCAGGCACCACCACACCTGGCATATTATACCATCTTGTCACTGGGCTTTTTTTTTTTTTTTTTTTTTCAGCTTAAATCGGTTTACTTTTTTTCTCTTTAGTGTATTTTTTTAAAGTGTGTAAGCAGAAGCTCAGTGCTTCAGAATTCCCATCATTTCATCTGCACAGATGTCCCAGAAATAGCTGGGATGACCTCTACCTGATGTGAACTGCTTTTAAAAAAAAAAAAAGAAAAAATGCCTGGTTAATTTTGAGCAAGTGTTTTACAAAGCCCATGAAGTGATCTCTTAGGCAGTGGCCGTGAACTGCATCTCCTAGATGGCCCAGCTGCGGGAGGCCTCTCTCTGTCCCAGGTATCCACAGTGTGCTGGCTGGTTTTGTGTGCCAGAGTGATATAAGCTAGAATCACCACAGAGGAGGAAATGCCTGTGTGAGTTCCAGCCCTAAGGCATTTTCCTAATTAGTGATCAATGGGAGGCCCAGCCCACTGTGGGCGGTGCCAACCCCGGCTGCTGGTCCTGGGTTCTGTAAGAAGGCAGGCTGAGCAGCCATGGGGAGCAAGCCAGTGAGCAGCTCCTCTCCATGACCTCTGCCTCCAGGTTCCTGCCCTGTTTGAGTTCCTACCCTTACTTCCTTTAGTGATGAATGGATAGCAACGTGGAAGTATAAACCAAAAGAACCCTTTTCCTCCCAACTTTTCTTTTGGGGGGGTCATGGTGTTTTGTCACAGCAATAGAAACCCTAAGACACAGGGGTGTCCTCTGCCACCCATTCAGAGACAGAGTGTCTAGCTCAGACAATGAGTGCTGAGTGTCCAGGTAGGTCAAGAAAACCTGAGCCTCCCCTGTTGGGGCGGGGTCTCCCAACCTGACCTGCCTCCCCTTGACTAAGGTGTTAGGGACTCTCCCCCCCCCAAGACCTTTCTGCTCCTTTTAGATGAGCCAACCCGTCTCTGTGAACTCCTACTCACCGCAGTCTCCTCCTATACCCTTCCCCGTCCCAAGTGAGCACCCTGGACACGGGGCCGAGTCACGTGTTTGTGGAGCACTGTCCTGTACACCGTAGTACCTAGAGGCGGCCAACCGCAACGTGGAGAAGACGCTGTGTTCCCCTCCCAAAAGGGGGATCCTGTCAGTGTGCTGATGGAGTAGTGGAAATGAAGTTTACTAAGTCTGACCTTAACATCGGGAGATTTTGCAGGTCATCTGGGTGGCCCCAGAGTAGTCTTAAGGGTCCTTAGCCATAGGAGCTGAAAGAGGGGAGTGGAGGGAAGAACACACAGCCAGAGCTGCTGTCTAGGGTACCCTGGTGCCCTGGGGCAGCCGAGAGAGGTGAGCTGCACCTCCCGCCCTCTGTGGACAGCTACAGAACTTAATGAACCTGTTCTCTAAAACACTAAACTTGTGACCATTGGCTGCAGCGGCCACTGGAAACTACGCACTGCCCAGTACCTGGGCCGCAGTATTCTCACAGGCACTGCTAACAACTCCAACACCAGGCTCCATCCCCTGCTGAGCCCACCAGCTCCAGTTGCTGTGATGGGGAAGAGTCTAAGAGAAGCTGACCATCTTGGTATCCATCTGGCTGCAGACTCAGGCCCAGGCAAGAGCACAAGGCCAGGAGGGGCCCCCTGCCAGCACTCTGCCGTGAGCGGAAGCGATCATGGAGTCCTTCAGAGCCACTCAGCTGAGTGCACCGCACTAGTGTGGTGACCTTTGACCTCCGCTCACATCAGCAGGACTCTGTATCTTCTTGTCCAGCTCTAAGTCAGCTCCAAACTCTGAGCAGGTGGAGAGGACAAGCGGTGCCCCAGTCTCCTTAGGGTTGTCCCTGCCCTAGGCCTCGTGGCACCATGCCCTGCTTTCCCTTTAACCTCTGTATCCTGGAAAATGGAGGACGGGCAGAAATTAAATCGGGGGACAGCTGGGCAGGGATGCCAGTAGGGTGATGAAGGCAGACCTCCTGGAGGAGGAGGGGTTTCACTGCAAGCGCAGAGAATTCAAGTCAGCCAGGGATCCGGTGTCATGCATGGCTAAGTCTATGGGAAGCAAGGGATTCTGGGAAGGGGCAGCTAGTGCTGCACAACCAGGCTGATTCCCTCAAGATCCAGGACACGGTTCTTACACCCTCACTTGAACCCAGGACTCATTGCTTCCTCTTGATTCAGAGTCCCCTGGGCCGAGCCCCACCCACATAGAAGCCCAGACCACTACGGCCACGGTGACAGATTGGGGTTACCATCCTTTTCCTGCCTCTCCTTCAGCTTGCTGTCCCTCAAATGTGGGATGCGTTACCACCCCAGTGCTGAACCCTCTTCAGGACCCCCAGCCTCAAGACAAAGAGTGAGAAGTTACTGAAGACCCAGGGCTCCTTGTATTTCTGCAAACCTACTGCAGGGCGCACACACACTGCATTCCTAACCTTGTCTAACTCCAAGTTCACCGTTCGGAATGATCAGTTACCTGGAAGGCCTGCCTACCCATGCTTACGAGTGAGTCCGCCACCATAGTCTCATCACAGCATCTCCCAGGTCACACATCCCATTCGGGCCTTGATGCTAGATCCCATGGGTCCCAAACCGTCCATGACATGAAAACCCTACTGGAGGAAGTGGGCAATGGCAGCTCCTCAGGCAGTTGCTCAGTAATGGCGCTCTCAAAGCAGTGGGTCATGAACCAGCATCTGTGTGGCAATCCAGCCTCCTCAGAGGCCCACAAGTGCTGGGCGCCATTATGCCCCATGGAGCAGGGGCTGTTTTGGAAGGTCACCCCTGACTCCCTTCCCTGGCTCTCCCAGAGTTCCCAACCAGGGTCCCAGGAGGGGCAGCTCTCCCGGAGTCCTGAGACCTGACCTATTTGTCCTCTGTGGGTGGGTCGGTCATGCCCACCGTGGGACGCAGAGAGCACACACACAGGGTAAGGAAGTCACGCTACCCCACAAAGAAAGGCACTGGATACATTGGGCTAAGCAGGGCTCCTTCTTAGGAGCGGGGTGACCTCGAGGTGTGGGGCTCAAAATTCTCGTTCTGCCAGTGGGGAGTGCTCTGGGCCAAGAAGTCCTGGAAGCCGTTGGGATACATGTTGGAATGGTCCGGGTGAGGCAGGAGTACATCTCGGTCCACACCCTCAGACACCAGCTGGGCCACCATCTGTATAATGTCCTGCGGGGGATCGACCATGGCTTCAGGGACCTGGGTGGGAGAGGGTGGGGCAGGCCCACTCAGTGGGGAGGGTACAGTTGGCCGGCCAGGGAGGTGCAGGCCCAGAGTGTCTCTAGATGTGGCCCTGGCAGTGTTTGTCCTGTCCTGTGCATGCAGCATGGCCAGGCGCCTGCGCTCGTCGATGCTGACATTCCAGCGGCTACCAGGGCGCCTGCGCTCGGGAGGCTCACACACCTGTGGGGACAGAGCGCATGGTCACCTCCAAACTCAGGTCCTCCTATCTGCATGGCAAGCGCTGTACCAAGTGAGCGATGGCTCCAGCTCCCATTTGTTTATTTTGAGCAGGGTCTCACTATGAAGCCCAGGCTGGCCTGATTCTCTTGCTCTGTCTCAGAATGAGCTCCGGGTGGGGAAGGCAGTAAGTACCCTCTCACATAGCCTGTGCGGTATACCTGAACTGAAAGGACCCCATGAGGTGTTCATGGTTACGGTCTCATCTGTCCCTGGACTGTGCAGGGCATTACAGCCAGCAAAGTACTCCAAGGTGGAGGGTGGGGCTGGGCCAGAGGCATAACCAATCTAATCTGTTGTGTGCCCCCCAAAAAATCGGGTCTCAAAGATCAACCCCAGGCGCTCCCAAGAGGCCTATAAAGGGATGCTAACAGCTGGGTTCAGTTACCAAAACCAACAAAAATAAGTAAAATATCTGTAAAGAGATTTAGGAGGAAAATTAATACTCCGAACCCACGCGAACAAAGTTTTAAAAGCAGGCATGAGCTGAAGGGGCTGATCAGCCAGCGCCATGCAGGAGACTGGAAGGTCCTGGCTTGCAAGAAAGCCAGCATAGGCTTATGGGTAAGGCCTCCATATAACAGCCACAACATGCCCCTGCCCAGGTCAGGTGGCCCAGCGAAGTTCCTCCAGAATGCCCATTTAGGGGGCACACCCAGCTAGCTACCTTCTGGATGGAGGGCCAAAAGTAGGGATGAGACCATTACAAGTGATGGACCCCTGAAAGAATTAACCCACAACAACCCAGTGATTCCATTTCCAGGTACAGACCCAGAAGAATTTAAAGCCGGGACTTGGGGAGGTGTGTGCACCTCCTGTCCACTGCAGCTTCTTTCACTCAGCCAGGCATGGTTCACGCTAGAAAAAAAGGAAAAAAGAGAGGGCATTGGGGGTTAGATAGATGGCTGGGCAGTTAAGAGGTGCACTCTGCTCCTGCAGAAGACCTGGGTTCAGTTCCCAGCACCCACATCAGGGAGCTCACAGCTGCCTGTAATGCCAATTCGGAGAGGATCTGACACCCTTTCGGCCTCTGTGGGCACCTGCATGCACACATGTATACACACGTACCTTTTTAAAAACTGACAAAAGAAAGGACGTTTGACGCATGCTGTTGTGTGGGTGAATGTAAAACAGTAGCCACCACAGCACGTGTCCCCACAGCTTCTGCGATCCTGCTGGTGTAGGAACTGCCAAACTCAAGTTCCCTGGGACAGAAAGGAGAGCGAAGCCTCTGGGAATGGAAAGGGAGGTGCTTAATGGAGATAATGCAGATTCGGGAAGCGGAAAGCCCTGGAAATCTGTTTCACGACAATGAGAACACACTCAGCAAGAGGCTGGGTGGGCTTCATGCGAAAACACACGCTTGAACACGCTTAGCGTGGGCACCTTGGATCCGTGCCTGGAACCCCCACCAACACACACAAAGAAAGAAGCTTTGATGGCAAAAATATGAGGGGGGGCGGGGAAACTGAATATTTGATTCCAAGACATGTACTCAGGGAAGAGGAGACAAACACTGGGGATGAGGGTCTATACGCCGAGAAGAGCTGCAACCCCCAGAGGCCAGGCTTCAGGGTGTGTGTCCCAGCCAGTCCACTGGCCAAGGCCTTCCCCTTCACCATGCTAAACAAGGAGGAAGGGCCTCAGGGGAGGGTTAGGTGCTCAGTGCATCAGAAAGGGACCCACACATTAACACACAGGGAAAGGCAACCAAGAAGTGGGCTTCTCCAGACGAGAATCTCTGAGGGATTTGCCCTTGGCCTGCTAGCCTCTAGAACTGACAAGTGTCATTCTATGCTTCCTAAGCTACAGTAGGGCAGCCCCAACTGATGGTAGCCTCTCCCCCCCCAATATCAGTGTTTCCGACTCCTTCTCTTCGGAGACCTCTGCCTGGCGGCAGTGTAAGACAATGCAGGCCTGGAAGTGCACAGCCCCTCATCCCCATCCTGCAGCCTAGCTTACTCTGTTCCCCCTACCCCAGTCCACAGAAGAAGCCACTGAAAGCCAGACACCTGTCTGACCATGCCACAGCTAAGCCACCTGCTAGCAAAGGCCATCTGAGCATGCAAAGTCCCCAGTGAAGAGCAGGACAGAGCCTCTAACGAGGTGAAAAACAGGACAGAGGTCCCAGGTCTCTACTATCACTGTGGCCTTTGGCTGTGGGATACAGGCTATGGATGAAACAAGAGCAAAGCAGGTGGAGAGGGGTCGCCCAGAGGACAAGGATGACCTTGGACATGCAAAGTGCGACTTGGCAAGACGGACACTCAGTGGGAGGGTACTCTGGAGCTGTTCCTATTCTTAACCCACTTTGTGTGGCGGGACTGCGCGCCTCTCCTGTAGCTGTCACAGTACTTCATGCTGGTGTGGCTTCTGCTCTGCTGATGGCAGAGGGTACATGCACTCTACACGTGGCACATAGACATAAGGCCACAGCTAGGCCTCCTGTGTTTATGCATCAACCTCAAGAAAGGCAGGAACAGGAGACCTCTGAGAGGGAGAGCCGCACACAGGGTATCCACACACCCTCGTCTGTCCAAGAAACGGGAAAATGTAAATTCAGAATTCATTTGGAGATACTCGTTACGAAGCATTATTACCATGAGCACTGACTAATATAGGATGGAAAGCAAAGCACCACCACAAAGATATGAAAAACTAGCAGGCTGTGAGAAAGCCAGAGAATCATTCCTGTTGTATCAACTTGAAACTAATAAAATGAGAAAAGGAAAAAAACAAACATATACACACAAACATGCACACACCGTGTCCCCAGACATATAGGAAACAGCCTTAGCAGAATACGTTTGCAGACATTTCAGAATGCTGGCAAGAGGGGGAATATCTTAAAACTTTTTGAGAGTGAAGCTGGTGAGAGAGTGGTTAAGAACACTTGGGTTCAGCTCCCCGTACCCACCCACACAGAGGCTCACAACTGTCTGCTCACTTCAGTTCCAGGAGACCCAAAGCTTTCTTCTGGCCTCCACAGGCACCAGACATGCACACACGGCACACAGACATATATGCAGGCAAAACATTCATACATGTAAAATACGTAAATCTTAGAGAAAAAAAACTTTTGAAGGTAAAAATGGCACTGGGATGATGCTACATACAAGTGCCAAGCAACACACAGACACATGCATGCATACATACATAGACACTCGCGCACACACAGAGGCGCGCACACACACAGGCGCAGACATAAACAAGTGTAATGTAACTCCTTGGAAAGAGGGGGAAGAGAGCAGGTGGATGGTAGAGCACTTAATCCTCTATTCATGCGGCAGAAAGTCAGCAGACTCTAAAATGGAGGGATAGGAGAGCAGCACTGGCTTCTTGCGCACATTCTGCGGTCACTGTTGGTGAGATCTCAGCAAGAGAGCTAACAGCAAGGTTTTAGGGTCACTGCCCAGCAGCAGGCATGAATGCTTTAAGAATGAAATTTAAAGATAAAGCCTTAAGTACCTGACGTCTCAGAATATGCTAGAGAACTCTTGCCATGTGCTCAACAAACAGATGGGACACTTACACACGAGTTGGATAGGATCTGGGCCACTAACAAAATGGATCTACACCAGGCCCCTGGAGCTCACCATTTTAAGGCCACAGAACAACACAACTGGAATTGCCAACCAACCCAACACGTGAGGACAAAGAAAGTAGAGACTGAAATGCATATTTGCGTAGATAACGTGACAAGCAAGATACAGGCAGAGTGCGGGAGTGTGGCCAGAACCACGCTCGGAGGACAATCTGCAGCTCAAATCCACCACTGGAAGAAATCCCCTGAATCCCAGCACTTGGGAGGCAGAGACAGGCAGATCTCTGTGAGTTCTGGGCCAGGCCAGCCTGGTCTACACAGCAAATGCCAGGAAGCTAGGGAGACACAGAAACATTTGTCTCAAAAATCAAAGAAGAAGAAAAGGAAGAGAAGGAGAATGATGACGACCACAACAATAATGCCAAGTCAGGGGTGAGTGGGGCATGCGGGAGGCAGGGGAAGGCGGATCTCTTGAGTGTGAGGCCAGCCTGGTCTACAGAGTGAATTCCAGGTCAGCCAGGGCTACACAGAGAGACCCTGTATCAATAAAACAAACAAAAGGCGGAGAAAAGGATTTTAAGGGCTCTGGAGAGAGGGCTCATCAGTTGAGAGTACAATACACCCTTCTTCCAGAATACCCAGGTTTGAGTCCCAGCATCCACGTGATAGATCACACCGTCCTATAACCCCAGGTCCAGGAACCCAACATTTCCTCCTGGCCTCTGTGGGCACCAGCCATGCATGAACTTACATGCAGACCAAACACCCACATACATAAAATAGAAACTTCTAGTGACTTATCCTATACTATCTATCGTCTTTGGTGCATCCTCAGCCCTCATCAGAGAAGCGTCTTGTTGCAGTCAAGAGCAAAGGACAGAGATCCACAAGTGGTCAGCGCCCAGAGAACAAGAGACTGAGAATGCCCAGCCCTCGGTGGATCATCTGGATCACATTTATCCCCACCCAAGGCCCAGGACTCTTCCAGAGAGAGAGAGCAGAAAGGCTGTAAGAACCGGGCGTGGTGGATAACTTCAAGGACGCTGTTTTGTGGGACACAACAGAGCAGGTTCACGTAAGAACTCTCCGTGGTTGTGACAGGATGCACAAGCCCCAGCCAGACAAAAGCCCAGTGTGGAGGGGGAGAGGGCACCAAGCCCCACCCTTAGCTGAGGACCAGAGCTGCCAGGTGAGGGAAATCAGTTCTCTCTTTGTCATTACTAGTAGGCTAACCACACTACAAGGCAAGTCCCAGACCCAAAAGTAGCTGGTCAGCACAGGTTAGACTTGATGGCTTAAAAATTAAAAAGGGACATAAAGCTGGCTAGGCAGAGAGAGAGGTGGGGTGGATCAAGGAGGCGCCAGAGGTGGTGGTGAATATGATCAAAATACGTAGTTG